TTCCCCTCCCCCTTTTCTGATGAAAGATCTAAACTCTGACAAGTGGACAGAGCAAGTTTACCAGCAATGCCCACTTTTTAAAGGGTTTAAAAAGAAATCTGAAACAGAATGCTGGAGAAACTTAGTATCTGTGGAGAAAGAAAACAGAGTTAATGTTTCCAGTCTGGCATGACTCCTTCAGAACTGAGAGGAATCTTCCTGCACATCTTCGAATGAAACAAAACTTTGGTGGGTGTCCCAATTCACAAGTTTTCACTTACCATTTCACTTAGACTTAGTATCTCGGAAGTCTAAAGCTATGCATAACAGAGCTATTTTCGGTGCAGGACATGGAAGTGTGAATGTACACATGCTAATTCAATGCTGGCTGTAACTACTTTTGGAGTGCCTCTTTCTGAAGGGGAACAATGCCACGCTTTAGGCGCTGCTTACCATGCTGTGAGTGGCGTCAGGACGCATGCCTCGCACAAGGAGATGCCGTTTCCTCTGGAACCGTAAGTTTTTGTCAGTTCTTTCTGAAAACCGAATGCTCAGTACATTCCAGGGGATTCTCTGCCCCACTCCCCATACAATTGCAAACCAACATCAACTTTCGAAACTGCACAAAGTCACTCGCCCAATCCCCGCCCCCTCCCTCTAGCAACAAACAACAAGAACCCTGCAACAAAACTTTCAAGTTTACTCGCTTTAAAGTTGTTGGGATTTGAAGTGTTTTTTGGTGGGGGGGGGGGAGGTGGTGTTTGCTTTCTCTTCAAATCGGACTAACCCCCGGAAAGATCTGTAATCAGCCTTGGATCAACCGTCTGACCGCATTTTCCTGCAGGGAGCCGTTGTGCACGCCAGCTATGAATTAATAGTGACCGACCTTGTCCTCCAAAAAAAATACAAGAAACAGAAATTTTGCGAAGGAAAACCTGCCTGGATCACACAAAGGCGGAACTACCTACCTCCGTTAGCCTCCGCTGTGAAGATGCACACAGTAGATAGAAAAATGCATTTGATAGAAATGTCCATTCTGAGCGCGCCTAATTTCCCTACAACGTATAAGAAAAAAAATTACATTAAACTCCTCCGAGTAAACGCCGCCTTTACCGGAAACCGCTTTTCCAAGCCAGTCCCAAAAATACCTGATCACAGCTGGCAATGTCCAACTGCTGTGCCCAGCAAATCAATCTCCCATAACTAGTAACAACAGTGAGTGAGAGTGAATGGGGGCACTCTCCACTATTAACTGATACTTAAGTAGTTATCACAATTACAGCAATGGGAAAACATGGTTCTGCATTTTAAAACAGCAATATAGGTGTTATGGTTGGAAGAATTCAGTTTAGTACCGAAAATTACATTGAATAGAAAAATAATCTTTAAAAGTATAGCTAAGTTTCTAATTGCATTAGTTTTTATGTACACACGCTGTAATTTATTTTTTCTATTTTTATAATCACACTGGTACAGCGAGAACAGTCCGCTTTCTCATATCCTGATCAGAGATTTTAAACTCTGCCTTTCATCCACGTATCTTTTGACTGTGACTAAATCATTAGCACCAACACAAAAACATTACTGGTGGCGGCCACTAAACAAAAGATTGTTTAATTGTGAATTGCTTTCAAAATCTTTAGATATTCCAAATTAATGATTAATCAAGATTTTTAAGAACATCTCATTTTTCCAATATTGTAAAAAAAAACTCCACAGAAAATAGTATACACTGTAATATTCACAAAGTTATTGTATTAATTACAAATATATTATTGGTGCATGGGATTAGAGCCTTGATATTGGTCGTCCTGATGCTTTTCATAGAATCATAGAATCCCTACAGTGTGGAAACAGGCCCTTTGGCCCAAAAAGTCCGTACTGATCCATCCCCCTATAACACACCTAAGCTACACATCTACGGGCAATTTAACATAGCCAATCCACCTAGCCTGCACATCTTTGGACTGTGGGAGGAAACCGGAGCACCCGGAGGAAACCCACGTAGACGCGGGGAGAATGTGCAAACTCCACACAGACCAATTCCACCTTAGGGTGGAATTGAACCCAGATCCCTGGCACTGTGAGGCAACAGTGCTAACCACTGAGCCACCATGCCGCCCCAAAGTGCAAAACTGCGATGGCTGGGAATTGAACCCGGGTCAACTACTTGGGATGCAGCTATGCTTACCACTATACTATCATCGCCCTGCTGTTGAGCTTTTGTTTGTCAAGTCCTAAGGTTCTTTTGGTGCAGTGGTACTGTCCTCCTCCTGGGCCAGAAAACCTGGGCTCAAGTTCCACCTGATCCAGATGTGCGTTATAACATTTCAGAACAGGTCAATTAAAATAACTATAGCCAAGTCTTATGTCAGCCTATTTGAAGACGTTTACCAGTGACAGCTTTACTTAAATATATATAACTACCTCAAAGCAATCACAGACCTCAATACAATGGATGTTGGGTCAAGGAAGCTGATAGAGGTATCCAAAAGCTTGTTAAGAATGGATTTTAAAGATGACTTTACAGAAGTAAAAGTTTCCCTTCCAAACTGTGCTTAGACCAGATAGGAGGCAGCAACTCACCAACATATTTTCAAGGCCATTAAGGGATGAGCAACAATGCTGGCTTTGCTGGTCCTCACTGCTTCTTCTGTTCCAAAAGAAAACAACCATTGTCTATCCAGTCATTTTTCATAGCTAAAAGTGGCCATTCCTGGAAACATTTGTGTAAACATCTTTTATATCCCTCCAGTGCAATCACATTCTTCCTGTAATGTTGTGACCAAAGTTTTACACTGTACTCCAGCTGAAGTTTCATCAATATTATTTACAGTTCAAGCACAGCCTCCCTTTTTTGATATTCTTCACTCCAGCTAATAAAGAAAAGTATCCCATATGCCTGTTTAACTCACTGTCATGTTACCATCAGGAATCTGTGGGCATGCACAACAAGATCTGTGTTGGTATACATTTCTCAGTTATCAAGTCATACCTGCTCCAGAGGTGTGTAATAACATTTCTAATCATGCATCGAGTATTCCCTTGTCTTGCTTGCTTTCCCTAAAAACACTGATTCTTATTACTGCAAGTAGGATTCCATTTGCCACTTTTCTGTCCATCTAACCAGTCCATTGATATTTTCTCATAGTCTACATCTTTTGTCCTTAATATCAACCACACAGCCAATGTCTGTATCAGCAGGAAACTTCTTAAATATGCCCCCTACATTTAAGTCTAAATCATTTACATATACCTTGAAAAACAAGGGACCTAATATTGAGCCCCATAGAAAACCATTGGAAAAAAACATCTGCCAGCTACTATCCTTTACTTCCTGCCACTGAGCCAGTTTCAAATCCAACTTTCCACTTGACCCTGGATTCCATGGGCTGTACGTTCCTGGAAGTGGACAGACAGATTAGGATGACAACAAATTCCACAGCATGGGGCCGAAGCAGTTGAACACATAACCACTTTCAGGCAAACAGACTATATAAATGAGAAGGTCTGAGATTTTGTATTCTGCGACGAATGTCTCACCAAAATTTCTCTGTTACCCACCACACAGATTGGGAGTCTGATGGAATATTTTTCATTAGCCTGGATGGATGCAGCTGCAACAGCACAGAAGATGCAAGACAAAGCTGTCTGCTTGATCGGCACTCCATCCACCATATGGCTGCAGTGTGCAAAATCAAATAACACCTGAAGTACTGAATAATGCAACTTATCTACCATGTGTATGCCCATTTTGGCAGTTTCTCTCCTGAAGTCAGTTTATTAGATTTCTGAATTTCATATTGTCACAAACTGAAATGATGCCCTTTTACCCAAGTCCAGAGCAGTGAAAATTTTTTTTTTTTTACTCATGGGATGTTGATGTTGCTGGCTGGACCAGCATTTATTGCCATCCCTAATTGCCTTTGAGAAGGAGGTGATGAACTGCCTTCCTGAATGGCTGCAGTCCATGTGGTGCAAGTACACATTGTGTATTATGGAGGGAATTCCAGGATTTTGACCTAGCTACAGTGGACAAATGGCAATATAGTTCCAAGATAGAATGTTATGTTTCCATGTTATCTGCAGTCTTTTGTCCGTTTAGGTGATAGGAGTAATTTGTTTGGAAGGTATTGCCGGAGGAGCTTGTTAAGTTACTGCAGTGCATTTTGTAGCAAACATACACTGCTGCTATTGAACATCAGTCGTGGTTGCTTTGTTTAGGATGGTGCTGAGTTTCTTGAGTGTTGTCAGAGCTGAAGCCATCCAGGCAAGTGGTGAGTATTTGATCACACATCCAACTTGTGCCTTGTAGATAGTGGATAGGCTTTGGGGAGTCAGGAGGTGAGCTGATCACTGCAAGATTTCTAGCCTCTGATCTGCTCTTGTAGCCACAGTAGTTATATGGCTAGTCCAGTTCAGTTTCTGGCCAATAGTAACCTCAAGGATATTGATAGTGGGGATTCAACAATAGTAGTGCCATTGAATGTGAGGAGCAATGGTTAGATTCTTTCTTGTTGGAGATGGTCATTGCTTGGCACTTGTATCACATAAATGATACTTGCCGCTAATCAGCCCAAGCCTGGATATTGTCCAGGTCTTGCCGTGTACGGACACGGGCAGAATCAGTATTTGAGGAGTCACAAATGCTCTTGAACATTGTGGAATTATCAGGGAGCATCCCCTCTTCTGACCTTCCGATGGAGAGAAAATCATTGATGAAGCAGCTGTAAATGGTTGTGCCTACAACAGTACCCTGAGGAACTCCTGCAGAGATGTCCTGGAGCTAAGATGATTGACCTCCAAAACCACAACCATCTTCCTTTGTGCGAGGTATGCCTCCATCCAGGAGAATTTCCCCGGTTCCAAGAATCATGATTTCAAGATTCCCCTTGATTTTCCTAATAGGATCACCACATGAGCAGTCACAGATCTCTCCTATTAGGCCAAGGATTTTGTCTTTGGTGAAATGGATTATCCTTTAAAGAACCACTGGCAAGAGAAACACTAGCAACACCACTAAAAGAACGAGACCTGAGTGACACTATCTCCACAGATAACATGCCGAAACTACTGGACCTATGCCTCAGGACCCACTTTACCTTTAGTGGCCAAATCTACAAACAGATCAACGGGACATTCATGAGGCCACCTACCTCTGGACTAATAGCAGAAGCGGTGATGCAGAGACTTAAAAGCATGGCCCTTCTGCAGATCCAACCCAAACTATGGATCCGATACGTGGACGATACTTTCGTCATCATCAAATGGACCAAACTAGAGGAGACACACCAACTTATAAACAACACTCTCACCAGCATCAAATTCACCAGGGAAGTGGAAAAGAATGAACAGCTCCCATTCCTGGACGTCATGGTAGAACGCAGGGCCAATGGGGAATTTCTGACAAAGGTACACAGGAAAACCACACACACTGACCAAGTACTGAATTTCAACAATAACCACTCCAATACCCACAAACGAAGTTGCGTGAAAATGCTACTTAAACAAGCGACAACACACTGTAGCAACCCGGAACTACACCAAAATGAAGAAGAATACCTCCACCAAGTATTTAAGGACAATGGATACCCAAAAACTGTAACCGATGAAGCCTATCACACGAACAACAACAGGAAGATACTGCACGCCCTAACACACTCATCACGCTACTATACATCAAGAACAAATCCTTACTGACCACAAGACTCCTATGACCATTGCACATCACAGTAGTACACAAATCTACGTCAATCCTACGCCAACTGCTAAATCAAACCAAAGACCCCTTACCCACTATGGACAGAACCGACGTAATATACAAAATTCCATGCAAGGACTGCAACAAACATTACATTGTACAGACAGGAAGAAAATTGGCCACAGGAGTACATGAACACCAACTAGCAACAAAAAGACATGATCAATGCTCACTCGTCTCCATTCACACAGATAAGGAGAACCACCAGTTTGATTGGGACAACACCAGGATCCTAGGACAGGCCAAACAGAGAGAAGCAGGGGAATTCCTAGAGGCCTAGTTCTCCACCAATAAGGCCATCAACAAACACATAGA